AAAAGCTCGTTGTTGTTTTCTTTTATTCCACCCTCACCCTCCTTTCTCTCGCCCTTTCTGACGAACGAGATGCGACCGGATTGTCCGATTCGAGCAGAAGATGAGCTCGATCTGAGAATGTAATTTCGATCGTAACTTCATATGTAATTCAAGAATCACTCTTGTCGAGTGAAATTGCGGAGTTTCATAGAAAAGGCAGAATTTACTTAAGAATAGCTCTTGAAGAGAGATTCATCTACAACATTTTTAAGAGTTATTGTTAGAAATTAAAATTAATCTCTTTTTTTTTTAAATTAGCGCTTCGAGCTGAAAATTATTTGTCTAACAAGGTAGTCTTTTTTTTAAATAGAGAATTGTTGATTTTTATTAAAAAAAAAAAAGAAAGTGAGATGCTCAAATTTGAATCTTTATCCTACACATTATTATGTGGCGGTTATATCGCCATTACTCCGGCTGAAAATGCGATTGCGATATATATTTAATTTTTATCGAGAATACCACATTCTCGAAATCGTGTGAGAATACACGCGAATATACACTGCTCAGCTGGTCGAGTTAAGAAAAAAAGGACAACGCAGAGACAGACACGAGCCAGTTAAAGCGAGGAATGTAAACAACTAAAATTATATTAGTATTTTCATGAATCTTGATATTAGATGTATATTTAACCATTTTGCAGATTTCTTATATAATACCTTGTACTTTCTCGAAACTTTCAAAAGGATTTGACGAGAATCCGAAAAAAGGTGTTGGAAAAATTTGGAAATTTGTGTGCTTAGAAGGTAAAGAAAAAGCTTTTTCGGAATATTGAAAATATCGCAAAGCATGTAATTTAACGTAATAAATATTAAGAAAGTTTAATTTATTAACAAAAAAAGAAAAATTACATGCGACGATATAAATACTGTTCAGACGTAGAAAAGATGATATCACTCTAATCTTAAGTTAAGTAAGTGCTATTAGCTTGTTATATGCTTAAGGAAAAATATTGTCAAAACGTATGTATGTGATTTCTTCCACACATCGATAACGATATATTAAGATAACGTTATCTCTTGCTCATCCTCATGGTATTTATGCAGAATTAATCAAGAACTCAATGCCTGGTTTCACATGGCAATTTATCATTTAGAATATACACTGTGTAGGTACATATGTATGTAATTGTAATAATGAACGTTTCATGACCGGTATGAAATCTGCCAGTTCCGTCTTTACAACATTATTATATGTGAATCGAATTGAAATAAAAGTGTAACATTTAATTAAATATTGAGATTAAATGTTTATTTATATGAAATTATTTTAAATTATGGAAAGTATTATAATTTGATATTATTTTATCTCTAATATATATTTATCTGCAAAAATAATTAAATTTCGTATAGAAATATTAAACTGTTAATATTAATTTAAAAAGAATGATACATGAGTTTTTCAATCAACATATTTTTAAACAATTTTTCAAAAAATACGTAGAGGTCAGAACTCTGTGCAAAACCTACAGAAAGCGTTAGAACTATTGTAGAACTGTAGGAAAATAGCAAAAAGTCCGCGGGAACTGGCTGTTACGTGGTGCTTTACTCTTGTGGTGCGGTGCTGGCTCTGACATTAAAAAATTGTTTAAAAATACGTAGAGGCCAGAACTCTGTGCAAAACCTACAGAAAGCGTTAGAACTATTGTAGAACTGTAGTAAAATAGCAAAAAGTCGGCGAGAACTGACCGTTACGCGGTATTTTACTCTTGCGGTGGGGTGCTGGCTAACACTTAAAAAAATTGTTTAAAAAAAAAATACTTAGAGGCCAGAACTGTCGCTGAAACCTATCAGGAACTGTAGAACTCTTCGAGAACTTTAGAATTTCGTGATAAAAATTAATTTTTGCGATACTTGGGGTGCCACGCGAAGTTGGCAACCCATTTACAATTTTTTTTTTTTTAGCTAAATCAGCGGAACTATTGTTAAAACTTAGCAGGAACTGTAGAACTAACAATTTTTTTTTTTAGCTAAATCAACAGAACTATTGTTAAAACTTAGCAGGAACTGTAGAACTATTGTGGGTGCAAATGGAATTGTGTATAAAATATCGATTTTTTCAAAATGGGGTGCCAATTTCACACCCATTTGGTCTCCTAAATCACCAATTTTAACGTCTCCTGATTTATATTTATCACGTAAAACAGTTCATTTACGAAAGATAAAGAAGATTAGCTTTGAAAATGTATTCAAAATGTATTTACTACTATTTCCAATATTATAGCGTAGGAATATTCGAAAGAGTTTGAAAGTTATTGGTTTGACGAATAGACGCCTGGATTCTTGCAGAAAGAAGTATTTTCGAATATTTATTGTAGCTACTGTAACTGATAAAATTCATATACAGATCAAATGATGTATTAACTCTTCTGAATCAATTAACAATTCCGTATAACGAATTATAAAAAATAATTGTGGTTATAAATCTGTCAAAATTTATAACTTTTTTAATAAAACATTTTCATACATAAGTTTATAAACTTTTTTCATTTACTCGACTTTATTGATACATTGTATAAGTTTGGCATCAGCCTTTGCAGATATCCAGTATAATTTCATTTGCGATGATAAAATATGGCGTAATACGAATCTTATATCAAACAAATGATAAGTGTTAGAGCAATTGAATCAATTGGATCTCTCCACAGATAATGGCTGCAAAGAATAGATAAATAAAAGATCAATTGTGTGTGCGCGCGCGCGCAAGTGTAGTATTCCATATTAAAATTTTATGAGATATACAGGCAAGGTCATTAATTCAATGGGCAATAAATAATGATTTATTATCTACTTAATTTTCTAGAAATGATGATAACAACAGAACGCATTTACTTTGCTAATTTATAGATATGTCTATAGTTTTTATAATTGCTATAGTGTATTACCACAAAAATAAGAACAGGTAAAAATATCTTTCTTATTAATTATTCATGTTTAACAAAAAATCAAAAGTAAAATAATTGGAAATATATTTAATATAATATAATATTATTTCTTTTGTATCTTAGCAGTGTTGAGTAGCAACAAATATTATTTAATTTATTTATTTGTGTAACGTTTTATTTCAAGATGTGGCGTTTGTATGATTTCCAGTAAAAGTTTAAAAAAAGTCGACGAGCTGTTTCCTGTTTTTGTGGCTTCGATCAGAGGGATATCTCAGATCGATGATTCGAAGCTCGAGTATTTTTCGCTTCGATCGTCATGGGGGCCGTCGCGATCGTGACCGCTGCGAGTAAATTGGCGTGGACTTCTCCCGTCGTCGCAATTATAAATAGGATAGGAAAGCGCGGCTAAAGAGAGAGAGAGACAGAGAGCGAGAGAGAGAGCACCCGATACGTCGTGGACGATGCCCGAAGTGGCCCCGAGGATGTTTCAGGAATATCGAGGACGTAATTATCCCGTAATTACCGAGCGCGGTCTTGACTCTTGAGCAGCTCTACGTCTCGGCGGTTATCCGAGTGGGGGTAGTCAGTGGTTGGCCTTGTGCGGTAATTGTACTAATTATTACTGCCCTTCCCCCCTCGTCCCCGCGGCCGTGCCCCTATGTACCGCCGGGTTTCCTCCCTCCTCCCCCGGCCGCCCAATTACCCCCGGTGGCCCGCGCGAGAGAAGCCAGAAGTCCAGAACTCTTGCGGAGATTTCAGAACCTCGTTTCTTGGAAAAAAAATCTTTGTTAGCGCCCGGGATGCCCGCGGGCAGTCGTAAAATTGACGGTGGGAGGTTTCTGGGAAATCGTAATTAATTTACGGCCGCATAAATTAGGGGTAATCGACAGGAGACTAGGCATGCGAGTGCAAGACGAAGCACCGGTATAATTGCGCGTTAAATTTTACGCTGTCACGTGATTACGAAGAATAAAAAAGTACGGTACACGTAACTGCATATCTTTGTAAAAAAAAAAAAAATGTGCAACTTAATTATCGTAATGTTAATAATCCTAAAAAATTACTTATAATTTGAAATTAATGTATGATTTCTTACAAAATTTCTAATTCAAATATTTTTTGCCTTTATTTACTACCTACTTTATCTCAAATCAAATGAAAGTTTTGATCTAATTAAGAATTAGTTAGAACATACACTACAATAACACTGTTCGACAAATTTAAAAAAATTTAGCCAACGGATTCATGTTTAGCAGGGAGAAATACATCGGAAATGACTATTTAAACTCATATCGTAAAATGGTGTTGGAATAATGTAATTAGTGGAGTCCTCTATCAAAATGTAATAAATGGCAAAAACAACGCTAAAAATATTTAATAAATTAGTTCGTATTCTTTTCCTTTTCCCCTGCATACTTTCTATTATCGTGCGATTTTTATAAATAATTTATCGCATTATTTATACATTTCCATGTATCTCTCTCATTAATCTATCTTCAATTTGAAGTTCAAATCCAAGACATTTAGGTATTGCATCAAGTGTTATGCCCATGTCACATTACGTATTGGAGGTTGAAAATAGTGAATTAAAGATTAGAATTCGATCAATCAGACAATGTTAATCGTTTCCGTTCTAATCGGCTGAATTCTAATCCTCGATTCGCAATCCTCCAATGCGTAGTACGACGCAAGTATTAAAAAGTTTCATGATTCATCTCACGGGCGTCTACGATCCCGAGACCCGAGATCAGTGACGTGACGAGTGACCCCAGGCGGTGACCTGAGAAGCGACGCGTGGCGCGCGACGAGAAGTAAACACAGCCGTGCGACTGTGACAGAGCGGAACGTTGAACGAAGACGCAATCTCTCTCTCTCTCTCTCTCATTTCTTGTCTCGACGAAAGGACGATGGCCACAGGATTTAACGCTCACGTGACATCTCCACGACGTCGTACCGTTTTGAGGACACAATCAAGAGAAAGAATGATTATAATGTTTTGAAATGAAGTATATCGTGAGAGGTGTGAGGAAAACGCAAAGGGCAACGTACTTATCGTCGAACGTCGCGCCCAGCCGCTCACCTTGCGCTTGTCGTACGCCGCCAGCCACTCGTCCGCTTTCCGTTTGTCGTAGAGCACCCTGGCGAGGCTGCCGTGCGGCCGGTAGCTCCGCACGGCTCGACTCGCGGCCTCGTCGCCGGCGGTGACGTTGCAGGTGGTGTCCTGACAGCCGTACGCACACCTGATTACGTGGGCCTCGTCCGCGCCCGCCATGCCGCGTCCGTCGGTCACTCGGCCACTACGGCACGCATTATCGCGTGCGGCTCGTCACGTCTCTCGCCGTGAATCACCACCGCGCGCGTGGCCGTCGTATCAACATTCTCCCAATGCGAAGCCGAGCCACACCGGCCACGGCCGTTAATCGGATACCCTGCCGTCGCGTAAACACCGTACCGTTCAGCACGTGGCCATATTGTCGACGGTGGCGCCGTCCGACGCGAAGCGGCCCGCGGCTCAAATTCATCCCCCGGCGTCCGCCGCGCCGGTTAATTACCGACCGAAACGTAACCGATGCTCGTCTGTCTCGTCTGATGTGGACGTGTTCGACGTCATCGATTCGAATCGCAACTCGCAACGGACGGGTTCTCGCTCGTTCGGCCACGCAATGTCCAATAGCGATTAATTTACGAGAGGTATGTATGTTTCTGAATGTATCAACGAGAGCCGGGCATTGTAACACTGGATACAGAGCTTATTCCCGTATCATTGCGATCAAATGATCGACTTTTCGCCAAACGCGAGACAAAAAAAGAGGAATAATTTATCAAGTCAAATCTTTCTCATCGACGAGTCTTTCTTGTAACCGTGTCGCCGATACTGTTCGTATCGAAAGTACGTAAAGTGACGAAAATTTTCAAGGGTTCGTACTCGAAAGTACCATATGGTTTACATACCCCCGTATCTTTTATCGGCCAACGTCTCTCCCTCGGAGAAAGCCACCAAGGGGAGTATGAAACTTTTAGGCGGGATAAATATGGCGGAGGGAGAGGTCTGGGTGCACCAGTGCGCGCCCGATGAATATTTTAGATGCCACATTGACGCATCGCGTTCTCTCTCTTGCGCGCGCGCGCTCTGATAATTCATTAATTTATGATAAGCTCGACCACGCCGCCCACGGGCCATGCATCCTCTCCCTCCCCTCGCCTGCCATAAATCATTTTCGCGTCTGACGTTAATTGCACGCCACCCCTCGTTACCACGGAGAAATGAGATTTTTTTAATTGGCGAATTTTTCACCGCTGCTGACACCCTGGCACCCGCGCTCCTGTACATTCCCCGCTGTACAACGCGCGTCAAGGAAAGAAAGATCGGCGAGACGCGGGGTGCGTAATGGCTTTCTTAAATTTGACGATGATACGTCGGAAAGGCGTCCGTTATTTTGTAAGCCAGTCTTCTATATTACGCGAAGTATCGTTTCTTTTATCTTGACTTCATACCATGCTATTAGAATGATTTATCCCATGCGGATCTACATAATTTTTCTTTTTTCCTTCAGCTTTTGTTGGAATAATTATTAAATAATTCGTGTCTAATAATTTGTGTTTGTGTATACTAAATAATTTCTAAATATTTTATATATGTAATATCATGCACAGCTAAAAAATTGACGATCTATCCAAATTTTGGTATTAATTTAACACAAAAGGAACATATTAGAAAGTAACAAATATTGTGTAAAAATGACAAAATGTAATATTTTAACATAATTTGAAAACGAATTGTGGAAGCATATTTCTTTTAAAATTAACATTTATATTATGTTAAAATATACATTCATCCTTTTATTCATTTATCTTATAGTTTACATTTTAAAACTTATATATTATTTTTATGTTATTTGTTCTTTTACTCGTATCAAATTATGTTATTGCAATACTGATAAATGTTAAACATCTATTTAACACAAAATGCTCAAATAACATAATTATGTTATATTAAATTAACATTCGTTGTCAGATAAATAATTGGGCAAATCGGGATAGACTAACAGAAATTTTCAAATTGCATAAAAGATTGAGATCACATGGTGTATTCAATCAGACATACAAAACGTACACTTTATTCTATATTAAAAATTTAACAAAACATTTTAACAAGAACTGATTATAACACAAGTACGAAATTTTTTTACTATGTATGCACTTTTAGATATCCTGATAGAAATGAATTTATATGCAGTTTTTCTAGACACCTATTCAGTTACTATCTAATATTACTGTATTCTCATTAGTTGTATCAATAATACTGAGTAGGAAATGGACAAGAACTTGATAGAGTTTTATTCTATCTATTTCATGAGCAGGTGTCTTGCTTATTAATCAATTTAATATCCATTATTTGTCGTGTTTCTATTTAATAACTGGATTCAGATTTTATGCAACTTTTGTATGCAATAACAAGCAAAGCGTTATATTCTGATTGAGATCCTAAGTTTTCCTTCTCAGTTACTAGACAGAAGTTGGTATAACTGTTTTGTAACCGCTTAAAAAATGCATGAAATTTCTATCAGGGTAACATGTTAAATCAATTTTGATAAATGTAAGAAAATACACACCTTGCATATATGCAATTAACAAATTTATATTCACAGACACAAGGCAACCTTTCAAACCTAAGTAAAATTGCGTCATTCCTTACCTCGTCGTGAATTTGTTTGGGCTATGCCCGACGTTCAGCGTCTAAACAACGTGCGGCACACACGGCCTTGTGATGCATTCCTGCATCTCCTAATATTTTATTTGCCGGATTGGCGCCATTTCCTCACGTGTATAATAAGACGAATCGAGAATTCGAGCATTAAAAGATTAATCGCGTAAAGGCGTTGGAATAACTTCGAAACGGGCAATGAATCTTATTTTCAATCGTGAACACTGAGTGCTGCTTGACGTGGGTACGGGATTCCTTGAGCACGTAAAATACAAATCGCATTAGCAAGTCAAAATGCGCAGCCTCTCTATCTTGCGTAGTTGTTCTATTTTGAGACATCGCGAACATTCCTACCTACGTAATCCTGGCGCTACGGAAGGGCCTTAACTCGATAAGTCCCCTCGGTACCTGAAGTGAGCTCATAATCGTGAACGAAGCGCGCAACCGCTTATTACAAGCGAGGGCATTGTAAATTTGCAGAGAAGCGGAGGGAGAAGCGTAGCGGTGAGAGCGACGGATGCTGGTGAGAGTGAGAAAGAAAGATGTAAAGATCAGGCGAGGAAGGACAACAGGTACGTCAAGAAAGAAAGAGAGAAAGAAAATGACAAAGAGAGAGAGGGGCGGGGGAGGGGGGAGAGAGAGAGAAGAAAGAATGGGGCTGAGGAGTCAGGGGAAGGTATAAGACGAGGGAGGCAAAGAGGAGTCGAAAGGACAAAGCGGCGCAAAACGTGCCCTTCAGGCATCTGAGGTCTTTCTTCAGCGTTGAAAATTTATCGTTCTGCAAGCGCCGGTGAGCAGAAAAATAGCGGGGGAGGAGAATAAGGACGGGTGGGAGGAAAAGCAGAAATTTAAGAAGCGGTTGGCGCAAAAATAAAATACGTCTTGCTCTATTTATGTGCGTTTCTATCAATGTAAAAACTCTAATTACGGTTCATCTTCTTCCAGGTGTAAAAAATGATGAAGAGCAGTTGGATCCAGATTAGGAAATGATGAAGAACAGTTGGATCTAGATTAAAGTTAATCTACATTGATTGATTGAAACTGGCATTACCTGGACAAATCCAGATTTTACCGAAAACCGGTGTTTAAGGTAATGAGGACACATTTTCTTCTTTTTTTTTTCAACCGCAGGCATAATTAACGGTACATACGCGTGTGGAAAGCGCTAATTAATCTCGACGCAAAGGTGCAAGCCGTTATTAAGGAGGGCGCGTGTGTACGACGCTCGCTGTACAATCTCGCCGGTAATTACGCGGTTGAGATTCGCGTCTCGCGCGTGTATGTCATAAGTGCGTGGCGAGTTGATGCCGGGGCGATACTTCGAAAGCGGTGAAACGAGTTAAATATTCTAGGCGGGCCTCTCTTGGGAAATAATTTAATTATGCAAAGATAACGAAAGCAGAGTAATTCGACGTTTAGTGCGACGCATATTCCGGTCAAAGATGTTTCTTTGGAGATTGCCTCCATCAAGGGCATCGAAATTGCATTTCATGATGGAGACGTGACGATTTGTCTTGTATAAGGTGGTCTTTAATGTTCGGCTATGTTAATTCGTGATAATGGAATCGCTGGAGAGCGAATATATGCTTATACGGTTCTTCGTCTTGAAACATAGTTGTTGAATCTTTTTTTTTCTCACGGTTCTTCTCTTGTAGCAATATTTAATGAACTTTTATCTAACCCTTCGTTACTTTTCTAAGATGCCCAGAACATCCCTGCTTTTAAACCTAAATATGTGAATCCCAGAAAAAAGACGGACGATATTTATACACATTATATTTAGCGTAAATTGATTTATAATTAAAAAAATGTTTTTATTTTTATATACATCGAAATGTATACGGTTTTGTTGATGAAGCTAAAAATTTAGCTAGATGCAAATTTGAAAATAATTTTGTTTGAACTATCAAAATAATTGCTTGATGGAAGATTAAAACTTTTTGCATTGTCATCAACATTTAAGCGTTCTACATAATTATTTTGATGATCCATCAAAATTATTTTGAAATCTAGCTAAATGTTTATATAATTCAAAATTGTTCTTTCCGTATATATTTATAGAGAGAATATATAGAATATTATCAACTTTCACTTAATTATAAATCATCAAAGAGTATGTTGAAAATTAAGATATAATGTTGTAATGTCAGAAATACGTAAGTAATAATGGGACTAATGAGTTAATTCTTTCACATTCTTTGCGTTGTAAAAATTGTTACAAACGGTATAATGTTGTCAGCGTTTTTCGTTCTCGCCAATACAGCTGTCTCTCGGAATCAATTAACTCGTACCCGTTGTACTCGTATAAACCCTGATAGAAATTTCATGCATTTTTTGAGCAGTTACTAAATAGTTAAACCAACTTCTGTCTAATAACTGAGAGGAAAAACTACTTAGGATCAGGATGTAACGTTTGGTTTGCATTTACTGCATACAAAAGTTGCATAAAATCTGAATCCATTTACTAAATAGAAACACAACAAATAATGGATATTAAATTGATTAATAAGTAAGCCACCTGCTGAAATGAACAGAATAAAACTCTTATCAAGTTCTTGTCTATTTCCTAATCAGTATTGGCACAACTAGTGAGAATACAGTAATATTAGATAGTAACTGGATAGATGTCTAGAAAAACTACATACATTTCTACCAGAAAAAGCGTGCCTCGAAAAATATTATTTCGAAAAGACTTCTTTGTTTTCCATTTCGCGAGTGCACCTTGCGCCCTTTTCTTTGAATGACGATCGAGTTCGAC